CCGAGCCTGCGTATAGCACCTGAAAAATATGAAGTAAAAGGCACATGCTGAGGTATTGCCCAAAATCTCAGCCTGCCTGCAGCAATTCCCATCTCCCATGCCTTTACCTTGGCTGTTTGCCCACCTGGTGCCCATGATTTTGGGCTGCCACTTTGAGTCTTGTGCACTATCCGTGCAATGGAACCAAAGGACACTTAGAACTTCACCCACAATACAGCACCTGAAAAAGAATTAATACTTCAGCCCACTAGTCATTGCTCGCCTTGCCTAAGTCAAGCCTGCTCCTCAGAAGCTGCTCTTCCAAGCCTTCCAAGCCATGTCTTCATCCTGTGGGCACCTCCCATTTTCTGTCTTCCCATGGGCTCTGGGCTCTGTTAGACCCACAAAATAAGCGAAGCCCTGACAAAAATCTATGAGGGGCCTGCCACAAACTGCAAAAGCTCTAGGGACACTGGTACTCTGTGGGCAACAGGGAAAGGTGATGAGCTGTACTGTACACTGAAAGACATTATGTCCTTGCTGCTTTCTTGAGAAATGCTTAAACTCCGTATGCAGATGCACACAAGATGCTCACCCTAAACTCTGCTAGATAATCTCACCATCAGTAAGATGGTGAATTTCACTGAATTTTTTTAGAGTTGGAAGGGACCATAGAGATCATCTAGTCCAACTCCCCTGCTGAAGCAGGATTTCCTAGAGCTAGAAATCAGTAAGAAATCAGTGAAATCAGTGAGAAAAATGGTATCAGTAACTTACACAGTATACAGCAAACCTAGTGAAAAAAAAACCCCACAATTCATTCTTCAATAAAATCAAGAATTGCAGGACAATGCAGTACACCTAGAATAAAGAAAAGCGTACTACTAAGCCATTTTGCCATCCTTAAATACTCATTACAGAAGTACTAACCTTAAAAAAACAAACAAACAAATAAACAAACAAAAAAAAACCCCAAAAAATCCACCACCAGAGTTTAAAAGAAAGCAAGCAGAGGATTTTGCTTAGCAGCAGCAAGCAAGCAGAGGAGTTTGCAAGCAAACAAAGCCAGCATGGAAGCATTCTCCTATATACGCTGTTGAACCTTAGCAGGTACCGAAGGCCTTTCTGTATTTCTCACTTGCCTTAAGTTTACAGCAGGCTAAGGACCATACCTGTTTGGTTTTTTTCCATTTGGGAGTTCTGACTCATCTCCAGTGATTATCATGCCACTTGTTGCTGTGGAGAAGGTATTTTTATAGTTGCTGTTTTATTTTTGTAAACTTAAGACATTTTTGTCCTTAATTGTTGACCATTTTCTGTACTGTTAGAATGTTGGAAGCATGTTTTCTTGAGAAGAACCACAAACATTTCTAGTGCCCTGGAGGACCATAGAGCCATAGAGATTGACATCGGAGGACTGACGGGCATTTCTGGCGTCCTGGAGGACCAAAAGGCCATCGAGATGAATTTCCGGAGGACTGATGGTCACTTCCGGCGTCCTGGAGGACCGGAAGGCCATAGAGGTGGACTTCCGGAGGACTGATAGTCACTTCCGGCGTTCTGGAGGACCGGAAGGCCATAGAGGTGGACTTCCGGAGGACTGATAGTCGCTTCCGGCATCCTGGAGGACCGGAAGGCCATAGAGGTGGACTTCCGGAGGACTGATAGTCACTTCCGGCGTTCTGGAGGACCGGAAGGCCATAGAGGTGGACTTCCGGAGGACTGATAGTCACTTCCGGCGCCCTGGAGCCATTTTGAATTCGCACATGCGCATTGGGCTGTATGGGCATGCGCATGCGCAGTAGCCATTTTGAAGCTGCGCATGCGCATCGGAGTGTACGAGCACGTGCGGGCGTGGTAGCCATTTTGAAGCCGCGCATGCGCATTGAAATGTATGGGCACACGCCTGCGCGGTAGCCACTATGAAGCCGCGCGTGCGCATTGGAACGAATGGGCACGCGCCTGCACCGTAGCCATTTTGAATCCGCGCGTGTGCATTGGTACATATAGGCACCCGCATGTGCAGTAAGCAGGAACACGCAAAGGGGACTCGGGGTGGCGTTTGGAGACATGGGGGGACATTGAGGGGCCCATAGGCAGGGGTCACAGAGGGGACACTGTGGGCATGGGGGGCCCAGAGGGGACCTGGGGGGAGTCCTAGAGGGGACATGGGGAGGGACACTGGGGACTCAGGGTGAGGCT